TGCCTCAAAGCTAGTGACTGTCAACAATATCAGACTCATGTCTCTGTGGTTCTCGGGTTTCCAGGAGCTTTTCTCTTTGTGTCCCAGCTACCTTAGCAACCCTGAACTCCGGTTTTTGTCTCCCCAGCCCAGTGAGATTGGAAAACTCTAAGCTTCTTTTTTCTGCTTTACTTATAAATGGACAAATGTCTTGAAGGGAAAATTGGTAGAGGTCAGACTTAACTCAGTCTGATTTTCACCTCTCTGGGATCTTGGTCCCTTCATCGCTGCCTTGGTTGTCTTCTGATGCCTTAAAACAATATTTAGTGGTTCTTATTTTTGACTGTGATAGTGAGATGGAACTAAAAATACAAACCACTCCCATCCTAGTTAGGAAGTGCATTCAGTCGGACAATATAATATGTATTGTGAAAATGATTTAATTTCATTTTCTTCAACATTGGAGAAAAATACAACTTTAAACCATGAGAAGTAAAATTCTAAGTGAAAGTTTAACATGCAGATAAATTTCTAAATTCCAAGAATACACCTTGAAATAAAGAATTTATTAAGCAAATGTGTAAGGTTTTTTTTGTTGTTTTACAAAAGACAGCATGAATAAACAAAAATGACAAATGAAAGATTAAGAGAAGAAACTTACATCACCTAAAACAAACAATGACCTAATACCTAGACTCTATAATATACTCCAGCAAATCAACAAGAAAAAAATTAGAAAACTCAGTAGAAAAATGGACAAGAATGCAGGTTATAAATAGACAATTCCCCTATATTTATATGGCCCACAATTTTGTGAATATAAGCTCAACTCACTAGCAGTCCCAGAAATACAAATCAAAACAACTAGGAGATATTACTTTGCAGCCATCAGTTTGGCAAAAGTTAGAAAACTGAGCAATGCCAAGCGTTAGCAGGAAATGATGAAACTAAAACCCTTATGCACTTCTGATGAGAATCTAGAATTGCTGAGGATTATGAAGAACAGTCTGCTGTACAAGTTCCATTCACATGCAACCCATGACACAGAAATCCTCCTCCTTGAATATAAGTACATTTTAAGAATATGGGGTGTGGGTGTGGGGGTGTGTGTGTGTGTGTGTGTGTGTGTGTGTGTGTGTGTGTGTGTTGCCAAAAATGTGTACACATTTTAAGAAAGGAAAAAAACTGTAATTAAAATTGTAGATGAATACAAGTTACATTTGACGTCTTCAATTATAAGAGGTGCTCAAAGTGGTTACCATCAGCATCCAGGCAATCTGATTACAGCAAACTAAAAGTAATACATAGGTAACATCTCTTAAAATGTGTATACATTTTTTGGCACCCCTGGTATATGTGTACACACACACACACACACACACACACACACACACATTATATATAGTGAGTCAGAGAGACAGTCTGTGTATTTTTCAATGGAGGCAAATGAAGATGGTCATTGCAGCATTGTTTATGAGGTGGCAAAGAGATAAAGGTGACTCAGATGCTCCCCACTGGGGCAATGCACAAATACAACAGAGTGATTGCACAGTTTGGGATTATAGCTACAGTCTAGATATTCATTCAATGATATACAGATACACACTCAAAACCATAGTGCAGAGCAAAAATAAAAAGTTCAATAAACAGAATGAGATCTCGTGCGGCACTATTCATTAAATTAAAACACATAAAACAACATGGCATCCTTTATAAAGAGACATATTTATATGTTTAATAATTAGAGTCATTGTCTAGGGTGCAGTGGAAAAATGAGGATAAATGGCTATTTTTAAAAGTCTTGTTGGAAGAAGCTAATCACTCAGACGTGGATTTTCTCCCTCCCTGTCCCGCTCTCCCTCTGTCCCTTCCTTCCTCCCATGCTCCATCTGATGTTGATTGGACGACAGAATGAACAAGACTCTGTGTCAGGTGCTGTGGGAAAAATGAAGATGACTTCCACGCTGGCATGGCCTTCAGGGACCTTAGAAAGGGTTCTAAGGTGAATACGCCAAAAGCTTTAGGAGTAATGCTTTGTCCCGGAGTTAAAACTCACAAACACATTCCTGCTCTGCTTAAAATCAACAGATGCTGTTTGGACGTGCTAAGAGCTCTTAAGGATGACAGCAACACTCAGAAAAATAAATAAGCTATGTGACTGAGGCCAGAAATGTCATACTGCTTCTTCTTTCCTCGGGAGGCTTTTCTAATAATACCTATGGCATGGATCTCAAATGCAAATGCCTACATAGAAAAAGAGGGTCAAATGTAGGCGAATAGGGAGTGGTAGAGACTGTGACAAACTGGCACCCATGAGCCTCAACTCCACGAGGCAGCCACTATTTAGCACCGTCTGATTGCTGCCATGTAGGAACGTGGCAATATTCTTCCATTTTCAAGAAAAGCTGAAAATCTGGATTCTTGTGTAAAATTGACTCATTTCTAAATATTGGCAACTACTTCAAATATTTTTAAGCTCCAGGGAGTGGGGAAAACAATTCTTTTTGTTTTTAACTAGATTTGACCATTTAGCTAGCAATTTGCTGCCTCTCGTACTCACAGCATCTGGATATTTGAAAACTGGTTTACCTTATTGCTTATTTTTTAACTTTAAATTATTTGCACACACCCAAACGAATGGAGAAGTTTGAATAAAATGCAAATTTCTGGCTTCTGCAGTCAGACAACATCATCTGCGATTGGCCAAGCACCATCCAATATGCTTTGATGTGTTGCAGAAAAAGCACACCTAGGCTTCCATCCTGGGGTGTCTTATGGCACTTGGGAAACAACAAATGGCACCTGGGACACAAGTAAACATGGGAACCTTTGGGGCCCAACATTTATCAGTCAATATAAAGATGTAAATGCCTAGAAGTTGATTTTTGTGAAGTTCTCTCATCAAACTAAAAAATACATATATATAAAGTACATCCTATGTGCAAGTTCTGAGATAAGTGCTTTCTTTTTTAAAAAAAATGATTAAGTATTTCAGGCATACAAAAATATATAGTAAACCATACCAAAGTGATGTACCCAGCGCCCTACTTACAGAGTAAAACAGGGATTGGCAAAATTTTTCTACCATATATTAAATATCTTCTGCTCGTGGGCCACATATGGGCTCTGATGAAACTATTCCACTCAGCAGTTGTAGCCTGAAGGTGACCATGGACAAGACAGCAAACCCATGGGCAGGGCTGTGCTCCTATAAAGCTTTACTTACAGACACTGAAATGTGATTTTCACATCATTTTCACATGTCATGACATAGTATCCTTCTTGTGATTTTTTACAACCAAGTAAAAATGTGAAAGTCATTCCTGACTCACAGGTCACAGAAAACCAATCTCGGAGGGACTTGGCCTATGTGTGAACCCCTGAACTAAAACATTATAAACACAGCTGAAACCCCCAGGGTACCACTTCCCAGATGACATCCCCCAGGACTCCCAGAGTTAGCATTCTCCTGAAACTGGAGTTGATCCTTCCCATCCTTACTATTATCTTTTTACCACCCGCGTCTGTATCCACTGGTTTCACATCCAAGGAGTTAACCAACCATGGATCAAAAACAATACAAATTTTTAAAATACAGTATAGCAACTATTTACATAGCATTTACACTGTCTTGGGTATTAGAAGTAATCTAACGGTGATTTAAAGTGTACAGGAGGATGTGTGTAGATTATATGCAAATACAGTACCATTTTATGTGAGGGACTTGAGCAGCCTCCAATTTTGGTATCCGTGTGCTGTCCAGGAAGCAGCCCCTTTCAGGGAGACTGTATTTGAACTTGATTTTGAATAAGCACTTAGGTTGCTGCCTACCAAGTTCCCAAGGGGCAATTGTGTTTTGAACTTTATTTGGAATGAGCCAACTGAGTCCTTTCTTTATGTGTATCTGTTCCTTTTAATCTTCACCTTGAACTTGACAGGAGGTACTTTGATAATCCCCATTTTCCAGATGAGACAACTTTTCACTTAGAACAGTTTGGTAGGCTGCTTAAGGTAGTACATAGCAAGACTGCAATTTGAATTCACAATTTTTTTACACAATGGAATCTGAGTTTATAGTCACTCCACTACCGATCAGTACTTGTGTCTCATTAACAGAAAATAACTGATCTTGTCAAGCATGACCTTGAGATAATGATGTGCGCACAATAAATGTAGTCTTCCTCCAAAGACAACTGAGTGTTAAATGTTATTGATTGCAGTTTAGACCCTTGAAAGTTGCTATGCCGTGTGTGGTGCTGTGTGTATTAACTAGAAGCCTTGTTTCTTGAACACAGTGGGTGGGTATTGAGGAGGAGTGACTACCGACATGGAACAAGAGTTGGAAATATTTTCAATAAAAAATGAGAAAGTCCCAAGGAGACTTGTCCCTGTTCTCTCCCGCTCCTCCCCCCGGCCCCCATCACATATTGTCAAAATCATAATTCGAGGAGCCGGTGTTTCCTCTCTTGGTCCGGGCCATGGTGATGGGCTGTGGAGTGTTGCTGCCTAGAGAGGTTGTTAATATCGCAGACACCTTTTGCGCCTTTCTTGGTCTGTGCGAGTAGCGCCATGTCCATTGTCCCCTCTTAACCACAGTCAATGCCAGTTTCTCCCCAAGCCTTCGGCTTTTGGCAGTCTAAATCCAAACGCTCCCTCTCTGCCCGTCTCTCCCTTCCTCTGCTGGGAAGTCTCCCTCGTTTGCTCAGACTCATTCAGATGACATTTAAAAGAGGCCAAAGTATAATTTTTCTAATAGCAAAATGCAGCACGAAGGCGGGGAACGTTTTAATCAAGTGGGTGTATTCTCTGGGGACGGGGAGCAAGTACTTCATTTTAATTCCTCATTTTCCTTTGATGAAAAGTTTAGTGAATTTTTATCATGTAGAATTTATAAGAAGGCTGGGTTTAGGTAATCAGCTTTAATATTTATAGTCTTAGGGAAAGAAATAGGAATCATTAGTAAGCATGCATAATTAATGAATACATTCTATTTCCCTTTGTTTTCTTCCAGGTACAAGGAAATGCTAGAACTAGTGATCTCACCCAGCCTCACTGTAAACAGCGACTGTCTGGATAAACTGAAGTTTAACCGTGCTGACGCCGCTGTGTGGACACTGAGTGGCAGAGAAGGTAAGCCTCCCGCTGAGAGTGTGGCCTACAGGTATGGGTCCTGGCTGGCCCCACACATATAGTAAGGGATGGACAGGCATCCTTTCCAAAGTACTGTCCGCCTGCCATTTAAATGGTTGCCTCTGGAACCAAACTTTGGCGAGCATCGCTAGCCGTGTGGTCTCTCATTAGGTAAACATGTGCTCGTTCGTGTTCTGAACTTCCTGCCTTAGTCTCCAGTTCTGAGAGAGGCCAACATCACCGTGGACGATAGTCACTTTGGGGCATGTTCCAGGCCTGGCCTAGGTGCATCTGCAGTGGTGCAGTCTTCGGCCCTGAGCTCTGTCCTCTCCACCTGCCTCAGCCATCCCCTTGCCCAAGCAGGCGTTCTGTCTAAGAGGGTTTGACACAGGGACGGGAACTTGTCTGCCTTCTGCTTTCGGGTAGGGTTAGAGTCAAGGAAGCAGAGGAGAATGAAAGCTGGTTTAAAGATTATTGGCAAGTGGTGCTGCTGAACGAGTTTTCACGAGAACAATTCCAGCTATTGTTTGTTCTGTTTGGGATCTGTCAGCCTTCCTGGTAGAGCTTGGAGTTAGCAAAAGGCATTAAGCTATTATGTTTAACCATTGGGCTTAACCCTTTCCTTGGCCGGCTGTGGGGCTTGCTTGCTGGTGTTCCGAGATCCCTCGTGGTTTCTCTTGCCCTGTCTGTGTGTGACGCCTGCACATGGGGCACAAATGCCATGTAACTGTCGTGGAAAGCCAAAGCGACATGTGTCTAAGGGACTACAACGTTACAAGGCATCTATTTGCTCTGAGCAAATCCAGGCTTCCATGAGTAATTATTGCTGTCGCCAAGACGGTGGACATTTCACCTGCATGCTAGTTACACAGCTGGAACAGCCCTGAAGAAAGTACCACCGGGAGAATTGGGTGCCCATGCCAACACTGGATGGCAGAGGATACATCCTCATTCTTCCTGGCAATTTGGAGCTTCTGTGTAAACTGCCCTGGGTTCGTTGAGAATTTGAGAAAATTTATTGAACCCTGTTCAAAGACGTTCCTCATTTTCTTTCTGAGTAGAGGCACAAGCCAACTTAAGTCTGTCTTCATTTTAGCCTGGGCACAGTGACTGTCACCTGTAATTCCAGTGCTTTGGGAGGCTGAGGTGGGAGGATCACTTGAGGCCAGAAATTTGACTCCAGTCTGGGCAACACGACAAGACTCTGTCTACAAAAAAAATTGGCCAAGTGTGGTAGTGTGCCTACAGTCCTAGCTATTCGGAAGGCTGAGGTGGGAGAACTGCTTGAGCCTAGGAGTTTGAGACTGCAGTGAGCTGTGATTATGCCACAGTCCTCCAGCCTAGGCAACAGAGCAAGACCCTGTTTCTTTAAAAAAAAAAAAAAAAGACTTCATTTTAGAGCCGGTAGCTACAGGAAAGGCTATAGGCTGCTGAGTGAGGAATCTCAGGCCCACTGCTTCCCAACCAAATGATCTTGGGCAAACTGTTAACCTGTCTAAGCTTCAACTATCTCACCTGTCCAATGGGGCCATGGGGATGACCCACTTCAAAGGGTGCTGACTGCAAGGATGAAATGAGGCCATGGTTTCAAGTGCCCAGCACACCTTGGGGGTGTGGTCCAAGATTAAACTGACTCCACTGTGGTTCTCCCCTGAATCAAATAACCACAGTGAATTCAACAACATCGTGCAGACCTGCAGCCCACAGCTGCGCCTGGCCATGAACATGTCTTTGGTTTATACTATGCTTCTTAAGTTAAATTGAACTTATAAAAGTCAAAAGCGTCCACATGAAAGTGTGGAGTCCTGGTTTCTCTTGAAATGATGAAGGCTTCAGCAGCCCTGGGTCCACATGCCCGCCTGGCTGCCAATGGTGAGAGCGGAGAGGCCCCTGTCCCTCAGGTGAGTCTCTGCCCTCCTTTTTGTTTCCATTTTTGTGAGCACATACTTCGTGTCAGGCACTGTTGAAAGCAATGTCAGTCTGATTCATTCCCTTCTCCTTCTCCATCACCATCAGAGTAAACCCTTAGCACTTGTCATGTGCCAAACATTATTCTACCAACTCATTTAATCCCTGCAACTCCAAAAAGTGTGTCCTGTTATTAACCCCATGTTACAGATCAGGAAACTGAGGCACAGGGAGGTTAACTAACTTGATTGAGATGGCACAGATAAATGATAGTCCAAATTTGAACCTACGTAGTCTGACTTCAAAGACTGTTCTCCCAGTCAGTGCACTGTACTGTTTCTTATTTAATTATTGCACTCCTAACCGGGCGTTGTGGCATGTATCTGTAGTTCCAGCTACTTGGAAGGCTGAGACAGAAGGATCGCCTGAGCCCAGTAGGTCGAGGCTTGATGGCCGTGAGGGTGCCCCTGCACTCCAGTCTGGGTGACAGAGTGAGACTTTGACTCAAAAATATATATGTATATAAGATATCTAGCATGTTAGTGTTAATAAAAGTTGCTTTCGAGGTAGATGTGGCCAGGCTCGGTGGCTCAGCCTGTAATCCTGCGCTTTGGGAGGCTGAGGTGAGTGG